GGATTCCCATGCATCCGAGTTCCGGTCAGCTCTGTGATGAGGATGGATACTATCGGAAGATGCAGTGTGACTCCAGCAGTGGGGAGTGCTGGTGTGTTGATCATCTCGGCACAGAGCTGACCGGAACTCGGATGCATGGGAATCCAGACTGTGGTAAGGAAAGGGGAGGGGAAGAAGAGGTGGGGCAGGATAGGCATTGAGAATATACCTTACATGCGAAGGACACCTTCATGTCAACCTCCTGGCCATTACAGGTAGACCTCAATTTACAACCATTTATTTAGTGATGATTCAAAGTTGCATGGTCACTGAAAAAAATGACTTGTGACTGTTTTTCACCCTTCCAGTAGAGGGATTCAAATAATTTAACAATTGGTTCTCTGCCCTAATGACCAGCTGGGCAGGCGTGGCTCAGTGGTCATGTGACTGTGTGGGCATGGCCAACTCAACAACACTCACGTCAATGGCCACTTTGCCTTAGCTGTTTCAATGTAGTAAGGGTTAACCAGAGAGCCAGTTTATGTAAACCAGTTTTGGCCCATTTTTCGCAAAAATGGAATGCAAGGGCAGGGTTTCAGAAGGCCCAAAATGGCTGTATTTGGTGTATAAGACGCACCAATGTTTCCACCCTCTTTTAGCGGTGGGAAAGGTGCGTCTTATGCTCTGAAAAATGCGGTAACTAAACCATGTGAAATTCAGAAGGGTGTAAGGCAATAATGCTCCATATCCCCCTGGTTGTTTATATCGGTGCTGGAAGTTTTCAACAGGGATATTAGGCAAGATGAGAAAAAAAACAGGTATAAATAGTCCAACTCTTCAGCTTCTTGGGATCCAAACTTAAAAGAATCTTACCCTGTGATGGTTAATGACTATAATAAAGGTTGATTTTATTTGAATATCTCTGCACACCTGGCAGGGCAATTTTAAGGCCCATCAGTGTCATTATCCCACATTAATATCCAACTGTGGCAAAATGATTTTGAAAGAATAAAAGAGCTCTCCGTGGTTCAATTTTGGCAGTTCAGGTAGTCCTTGACATAGATCACAATAGAGGCCCAAATTTCTGTGGCTAAGTGAAACATTTGTTAAGTGAGTCTGGCTCCATTTTACAACCTTTCTTGCCACCGTTGCTAAGTGGATTGCTGCAGTTCTTAATTTAGCAACATGATTGTTAAGTGAAACTGCATTGACTTTGTGTGCCCGAAGGTTATAAAAAGGTGACCACGTAACCCAGCACGTGGCAATTGTCATAGATGTGAGTGGATTGCCAAGCATCTGAATTTTGATCACATGACCATGGGGATCCTGCAATGGTTGTTAAGTGTGAAAAACAGTCATAAGATTTTTTTCACAGTGTCATCATAATAGCAATAGCACTTAGACTTATATAGAACTTTACAGCTCTCTCTAAGCGGTTTATTGAGTCAATCTCTTGCCCACAACAATCTGGGTCCTCATTTTACCAACCTCGGAAGGATGGAAGGCTGAGTCAACCTTGAGCCTATTGAGATTCAATCTGCTAAATTGCAGCCAGCAGAAGTAGCCTGCAGTACTCCATTCTAACCATTGCACCATCAAGCCACTAAACACACAGTTCTAAGTTGAGGATTATACCTGTATTGTAAAAAATTGCATTCTGAAACAGCTGCCAAAATCTTTGAAACTAATATTGAAGACTATAAATTATCTCTTTCCTAGAAAACCTAGAATTAGGAGAAGGGCTGTCAGTGCTCCCTGGGGTTGGTTTCCTACTTGCAGATGTTTCTGCCAGAAACCCAGCAATTCAGAATATATTCCCCATTATTGGAGAATTGGGAAATGTTCTTCTCCAACTGCATTTCCCTTGCTTTTGTTTCTTTCTCTTTTTTTGAAATATTTTTCACTGTTTTATATCATACATTTCCTCTCTATGTTGAGCAGTGTGCTCTCTAGGTGCCCAAGGTGTTAACATACAAGCATACAAACATCATAATCATCATTATGATCATTCATATATATATATATATGATATACAGCATATATAAACAAATACACAGTAATATCAGTTGTATTATTGTCTTCCATTGGGACATTGATTATATAACAGTTTCTTTCTCCTATAAACCATATTTCACCTACCATATTTTTCAGAGTATAAGACACACCTTTTATCCCCCTAAAAGAGAGTGAAAATTTGGGTGCATCTTACACACTGAATAACCCACCAGCCCCCACCCTTTGGTCTCTGACTCCCAGCAATTTATCTCCCTGTAGCAAACAGAGAAAATGGGGCTTGCAGGGGCGGCAATAGCCTATGGCAATCCCTGCAGCCTGAAACAGCTGATCATTGGGAGGCCCCTGCAGAAATTGGAATTAAAAGCTAAACAGGCTGTTTGCTACAAGGAGGCAAGTTGCTGGGAGGCAGAAGAAGATAGTTTCCCCCTTCTAATCAGGCTAAACTGAAAAAGGATGTTTGCTGTTTGCTGCAAGAAGGTAAGTCAATAACTATAAATGCCTATAGAATGTTCAAATTATTAGACATATTTTTTAAAGACTGCTTTATTATTGTTCTATACAGTTTAGCAAAATGAAGCAGCTTTTTAAAATAAATGCTTGATCTGAAGAGGCCCAGTGCTATTGTATCTTCTTTGGAATAGCAGAGAATAATGTATGCTTCCAGAAAGCCACATCAATTTTAACAGCATCTGTAAAAGTATAGTCTGAAATGTAACACCACAAACAGTTGCTGTTTGCTGCCAGGAGGCAAATTGCTGGGAGGCAGAAGAAGATAGTTTCCCCCTTCTAATCAGGCTAAACTGAAAAAGGATGTTTGCTGTTTGCTGCAAGAAGGTAAGTCAATAACTATAAATGCCTATAGAATGTTCAAATTATTAGACATATTTTTTAAAGTCTGCTGTATTATTGTTCTATACAACTTAGCAAAATGAAGAAGCTTTTTAAAATAAATGCTTGATCTGAAGAGGCCCAGTGCTATTGTATCTTCTTTGGAATAGCAGCAAACATCCTTT